TTAAGGAACCGGTACCGTGAACTAGTGAACCGTTAAGCAACCGGTACCGTGAACTGGTGAACCGTTTAGGAACCGGTACCGTGAACTGGTGAACCGTTAAGGAACCGGTACCGTGAACTGGTGAACCGTTAAGCAACCGGTACCGTGAACTAGTGAACCGTTAAGCAACCGGTACCGTGAACTAGTGAACCGTTAAGCAACCGGTACCGTGAACTGGTGAACCGTTTAGGAACCGGTACCGTGAACTGGTGAACCGTTAAGGAACCGGTACCGTGAACTGATGAACCGTTAAGCAACCGGTACCGTGAACTAGTGAACCGTTAAGCAACCGGTACCGTGAACTGGTGAACCGTTAAGGAACCGGTACCGTGAACTGGTGAACCGTTAAGGAACCGGTACCGTGAACTAGTGAACCGTTGATATTGCAAATAACATTGTACGTGTAAACATCAGCGTTGGTTGCAATAGTATTTTTCGACACAATTCTCTATGCTGACATTCACTGATAATCTTGAGGGCATGTTCTTGCAAATCAGTTTTGCTTTGATTCAAATGATTTGCCGAATTAGAAGCTGTAGCACCTGCGATTGAAAACAATCATTATAAACTGGAAAAAAAGGACTCAAGACTTACTAATACAGTAGTGGTGGCAAAACGTTTTCGTCATATTTTTGTAATATATCCGCTTTCTCGTTGTTTTGGTCTTCGACTGCGAACTGTGTTTGTCAGCGTGCATCTGAATCCAGGTATCCAAATCTTTTATCAATGCTCGATATTGTTGTTTATTGATAGCTTGCAAGCCGATGGACGTCGGTTGATGTTGTTCGATTAATTGCTGTCTCTCTTCAATGTCTGGTAAACATTTCATATAAGTAGCCTGCATGAAGTTGCTTGTAAGACTACGAAATAGTTTTGATAAAATACGTTTCATTTGATCTTTGTTCACATTTTTCAATATAGATCCATTGCCGTTTAGCATCGTTTGAGTGAAAAAACGATATGGTAGTTCCAGGATTATTTTTCGAGCCAAACGATTATCAGCAGATAATGTTTCGCCTTCATCGACGACATAGTCAAACAAATGCATCACCTGAGAAAGTAAAAGACATTAAAATTGTCTAGCGGGTAGAAGCATGTGGTTACTTGCGGCAAAACAAGACGGGTGTAAAAATTCACGGCATTCTATTCTACTATTCAACGATTCTGTACTTACCACATGGGGTAAGTACAGAGCATTGCACTAGAGCAACAGCATACATTCCACCATCATTGGTTAGTAGTAAGCAGTCACAGTCAGTATTTATTGAGCAGCCTACGTGTTTACATTCATTTGGATTATATTGGGATTCAATGAGTGGTTGTGCTTTAATATCATCGTACACAACATAAAATTTTCTGAAATAATTATCAAATATACAGTGTGTAAGAAGTATTCAGATAGTTTCTTTGCTCTATGGTTTTTGGCATTTCTCAAGTGGCGACAGCTTTCAAATATATCATTCGAAAGAGCAATATCCCAGCTTAGTAATCAAAAAAGAATAATTAAGAAAAGTACTCTCTAAAGGTCACAAAATTGAAAATGCCGAATACCACCACGAAATCTACTTGAGTTATATCTTTATTGTTTCAATAATAAGGCCAGCGGCGAACTGTTTTAGGCCATGCATAAGATAGGCTACATTTAAGTGATAAAGTGTAACAGGTGGAAGCTGAACAGCCCAGGTCGACCTAAACGCCATCTGCACACGTTTGGAACGCTATGATCACTTTGAACATGTTCGAACAGCGTGCGACCGTGCGCCAAACGTGTGAAGTGTTTAGAACGCGTTTGTATTTAAAATGGCCGTAGTTTAGAAGGAAATATGCCTTTTGTAAGCATATGGCTTCATACTCAGAAGCTTTTTGACCAAAAAACTGCTAAACTATTTGAGTTAATTTTGCAGGCTGCTGCTAAGCAACGGGACTGAAATGATGTCTAAGCTTATAGTCTCTTGCTTAACTGTCAGACCAGAGGAAAAGCGCGCTGTTTTACCGCATTTGTTTTTGAACAAAGAAACTTTAGCCTAAAAAAACCAGAAAACTCAAGGGCGACTTAGCTTCCGTACCATGACATCAAGAGACTATAAATGAAAAGACAAGCCGCACAGTTATTGCGCATAGTTTCTTTTCCTTTGATATTTATAATTTTAGTTTTGCTTATAATTTTATTTCATAATTTATGGTTTATTCAGTTTGTTCATTGCGTAGTTCCTGTGTGCAGTTCCCTACCCACAGTGAGTGTGCCTATGTCCATTAGATAAGTGTTTTTTTGACGATTTCACTTTTACTTTAAAGAAAATGATACTTTGTGATCTACTTTTTCTTCTTTAGTTCTGAATGACGGTCTTTGTCATCGAAGATGTCGAACATTTACAGTCAGTACAATGCATCATCACAATGTCGGCTCACTTATGCCAGAGATATAAGAAAGCAAATACAAAGCGTATTAGGATCCACGGGTCGAAATACTATCCTAATACTTATTGCATTAGACTTCGATACATAGTGCACAATAACGTGAGAGTGAGTTACGAGAAAATATTTTCCCCATATTTGGTGTTGGCTGATGTACATGTCAGTTATCCATTTAATTTTAGAATGCCGCTGCGTGTGATTGGTGAACTGAGATAGGAAGGGCTTTAGGTATTCTGCAGGGGAAAGAAGTGACTTGGATTCAAGTTTTATAGGGCACATGACTTCGAAAATGGTGTCTCAGGTTTCTAAAAGGTTCTTGGAAAAAACTGTAATCCTCCGCACCATATATTTTTCATAATTCTGCAAATTCTCATAATTCTCAAAATTCTCAAAACTCCAATGCGTTACATAATTCCCATAATTCTCAAAATTCTCAAAACTCCAATGCATTAGATTGGAATAGTGGTCGATCTGATAAATTACGTTACCGGTTTTGATTCACATAATTATCGAGATTAGGAAAGAGTAAAAGAACAGCGATACAAGTTGCATGCGCATTATGACAGCACTCACTTATGCACATGCTAGCATTGTTTTTTTTTACTATTCCGCTTTTGCATTTTGAAATTTATTATTTCGGCCATGCTCTCTGTTGTTTGTTAACTTTATTAATAAATTTCTTTTTACTTTCTCGTTCAGGACGGGAACTAAAACGACTACGACAGCAACGATACAGACACAAACGCAATAAAACATCAATATTCCAATGGACAACCTGTTCAGTTCAACGAAAAATCGCGGATTAGATCGGATCAAAGTTTTTCAAGCGAAGCGAAGGTGGGATCGGATCGAAACCGTCTTGAGGATCTGAAAAAAACGACCTTTGTCACTTTCTAGTATGTTTAAGTATATTTTGTATATCCATGACTCAAACATTCCTCGACTAGTTTGAAAAAAAACCGTCTTATTGCTTCTAGTACGGATTTAGCAGAAGAGAGCGATGAAACAACTTCAGTGGACATTCATGAACAGGAAGTTCCAAGGTTTGAAAGTTGTCGATCTTAGCATTTACTAATCTACTAACAAAACCTTTTTCTATCAATGACAATGAATACGGTGACTTTGTTAATACATCACTACCAAAAAAGGGTCATTTGGAAATTGAGATACTTAGTTTTATTAGAAAAGCTAACCTTGACAAGACAAACACTAATCGACTGTTGAAACTACTCAAAGAGATTGAAGATCCGGCATCGGTACCAGAATCATCCGAAAGTCTATGGGAACATCTCAATATACAGTTTAACTACAAATCTCACTTTTACTGTTCGGTATGCACGGAGGAGTTGCCTGCTATAAGAAGTAAATGTAAAAACATTCACTGTCTCAGCAAGCATCAACAAAACTCCGAGTTAATAACGATGAATATTCACGACGAGTTGACACGAGTAGTTCAAACCAATATTGATTTAATCGAATGGTATAAACATAATAAACATAATTTAACAACTTGTGATGTTGCACTGGGTAAGTATCCAAGATGAATTCTTGAACACTTAAAAAAGAGTCTGGAAGCGTTCTTATTGATATTTTGTTAGAGAGAATAGGCTAAACGAGCGAAAACGAGCAGAACTTCTTGGTGAGAAGTGTGAAGGACGTTACAGCTAACGTTTTTAATTTCGTTTAGGTGATCATTATGTCAAAAGAGCGAGATCGGTTCAAAATCCGTTAACATTAATGATTAGTACTGATGGGAAACCTATGCTAAAAAGCAGCAGATCGAGTCTATGGCCGGTCAGGTGTAATATTATGTCTCTGATACTTGCAAAAAAGCTTGTAGTTATTTTATTGTGATCTTTAGGTAATGGCTGTTTTGGTCGAACTACCACCTCCAGTAAGAGAATATGAAAGCAACACTATCCTGCTTGCATTGTGGCACTCTGTTGTTACTCCCGACGCTAATGTTTTATTAGCATCCGTGATCGAACAACTAGCAGTATTAAAAGCTGGCGGCTTAAATGTACATCTACAAGAAAGAGGTGAGAATGACATAAAGGGCAAAGACGCTCGTCTGCATGCACTTCTTTGCGCTCTTCTTCATCTGCTGACAGAGATCTTAAGTTTAAAGAGTTCAGTTTCGACTATCACAGTCAGCAAGCCAAGAGGTATTTCGTGTAGAAAAATAAATTTTATGATCCTTAAAATAAATTGTATCAGTTCTTTTTGCTTATGATTTAATCTCTGTTTTTCAGTTACTTTAACCTGCAAAATAATTATAATTTCGTGATTTAATTAATTTAATATCAGCAGCATGTGTTTTTTCATCTGTCCAGTCATACTGACATCTTTTAGTACTCGTTGTATTTAGGAACAACTAAGTTTGACATTGATATACAATTATGTGGCGGTGATTTGCCAGCAAGGTCAAAATGTAACAAACTCAACAGTCATAATGGATTCTACTCGTGTACAAAATGTTTATTAAAAGGCGAAAAGTGCCGACATTGTAACCGTATGTTATACAAGTATAAAGATTTTCAAAAATTACGAGTTAAAGATCGAACACAAGAACATATCAATGCATGTGTACGACTGATAGAGAAGAAAAATAACAAGAATTATAAACCGTTTGGTGTTATTGCAAAATCTGCTCTAAGTGATGTTATTTCCATTCCGAATCAATCAGTTTATGATTATTTTCACTTATGCCTGGAGATTCATGTCAATTTTTTATTAACACAATGGTCATTGTCATTACAAAAAGCTGATATTGTACAAAGCGATGATTTTCCAAAGTGTCCTGTTCAAAATAGGAGTCAAGCGAGAATCATCTTCGAGTCTTGTCGTAAAACCATCGAGTTTTGTAAACTTGCTCTTCTACATTTCTTCTAACTGTCATATGGAATAGCATAAATACTCTACATTCTGAATTTTTCAGCTCATCCTGTTGTTTTTTGAGTGAATTGTAAATTTTTTAATATTAAATATAATAATATAATAATATAAATATAATAAAACAACAGGATGGGCTGAAAAATTCAGAATGTAGAGTATTTATGCTATTCCATATGACAGTTAGAAAAAATGTAGAAGAGCAAGTTTACAAAACTCGATGGTTTTACGACAAGACACATCCGAGTCCATCTTTTTGCCGACAATAGGATCAGAAGAAAAATAAGTGTCGTTTCTGTTATCGGTCGTTTTTGAATGCTTTGATTCCATGTTAACAAAAAAAAAGAACACTTTCCGACTAAATAAAATCCATGTTAATCTTATTGTTAAGAGTAATCTAAAAGAAATGAAGGACAAAATAAACAATAACCATAGATTAGTTCCTGCAAATAAATCAAACTAAAATGTACAACAGCTACTGGATAAATCATGAGAAAAGGCGCAAAAAACGAAATGTCATTAGAAGTCCACATCTTTATGCCTTGTGACTTAAAGTCAGCCACAAAAAGGAAGAAAATGCGCTCGCTGTCTTTGAAATAAAAAGGACTAAGAAAGAAAACAAGTGTGATAAAAGCTAACCAATTTTTGAAAAACTTTCAAAGCGAGCACATTTTATTTATTCCTTTTTATGCCGAAGTTGAAAAGAGAATAACTACTTTGGACCGCAAATAAACAATCCACTGCGAGTTCCTCTAAAATTTGGTATTACACAGGTAGCTTCTTAGTTTCCAATGAAAAGTCAAAGCAAAACCTCTATAAAGTTGCAGAAAAGTCATACAGTTCAAACGGATTTTGAACAGCAATAAACGCGTTCTGAACGTCTACGTTCGCACGCATTCCAGCGGGTTCGTTTGCACATGTGCAAAGCGTTAGAAACGTGTGCAGATGGCGTTTAGGTCGATCTGGGAGTGAAATAATATATTAAAAAAAAGTTAAAAACGTCAAGAAAAAGTGAAAATAACACAGATTAGACGGAGAGATGTGGCGTGGACTAATTTAAATTTTATCATATCACCGGACTCCGAAATTTTCAAACGCGATTAGAGTCCGGGGGAAGGCGATATTCGGAATCAGCGTGGTCGATTGCCTATGGGTCCATGATTTTTAGTCCGGGGTACTTCCGAAAATTAA